AAAATACAAAACCCGGATGATACCTGTACAACCAAAGAGCCAATCCCTAGTGCAAAAACGTGCCTCAACCATCTTTGGTGATGTAGAACAACAAAACGGATCTAAAATTCGCCCCCCAGCGTTGAATGCTGATGCTGATGCGACGGTTGTGATTGGTATGCTCAAAACATCTCGAGCCATACATGACAGTGCTGGCCACTTGTTTTTATTTGATTTCCAATACTCAAGAACATCCAACTTCTCATCTCTAGGCAACATTGATTCATTTAGATAAATATCCAACTGAGAGAAGTTGATTGAATATTTCTTTGACTCTCATATTGATGAAACTCCTGCAAATAGAGATAACCAAATTATGATATATATATATATATATCATATCAATGCAACATGTAAACTTGTAAATAGGTTTTTTAACATATAAAAAGCACATCCCAAATCCATCTTGTCAAGTCTTCGTTGACACTCATTAATGGCATCAGAATCTGATGAAGATGTTGAAGTCCTAGCCGGACTGATTTGTTGCATCACCCTGTAATCCATGAATAACCCCCTCAACTTAGCCTCAACATTTTTCCATTTTATCTCAGCCGTAATAGGATCAAGATATTCAAAAACCGCCTTCACATGTTCAAGCTTGAAACGAGGATCCAAAATAACAGCCATCGACAAAACAATACTATAGCACTCCCAGTATTTTTCAAATTTCATGTACATTTGAGTTGCTATAGTGTGAAGAAACTTATCTTGGTTCGTCAAGTTGCTCTCAATAACCTGTTGAATCTTCCTTACACTTGGAAGATAGAGATTCGCAGTGGGATAACTTGAACCAGAAAACAGTGTTGTGATTTCATAAAACGGAGCTAACATTTCAGTCAGTTTTTCAATGTGACTCCATTCAGCCCTACTAGGAAAGAAGTTGCATGCCTTAAACATTGAATCCTGAGCTTGTAGATGGAAAAAAGCCATTCGATGCTCCAAACCACTCTCTAGCATTAAGTAGGTAGAATTCCAGCGTGTTACCACATCCTGTTTCAACTGCAAATTAGATTTTAACCCCGCAAGTCTCACACATTTAGCAAACAATTGCTTTCTAGCCTTAGATCCTTTCACATACTTCACACACTCTCTGATCTTAGTTAGGGCAACATTAACACTCTTCAAACCATCCTGCACTATCAAATTAAGTATGTGAGTAGCACAACGAACATGAATATAATTACCATCTGCAATCAACGAATTAGTTTCTCTAAGGTATCCTTTTAAACATTTCACCATCCCTTCATTATTCGAAGCATTATCCAGAGTGATGGAAAAGACTTTTTTGTCTATACCCCATTCGACTAAAAATTGAAGCAAATAATCACCCAAAAGATCGCCCGTGTGGGGCGTAGGAATATGCCAAAAAATCAAGATTTTCTTATGTAGCTTCCATTGCCGATCCACATAATGTGCCGTCACGCACATATACCCATCACTCGTGCGAGATGTCCACAGATCGGAAGTCAAACAAATCCTACCGGGAACTAACTCTAACTCTTTTTTTAACTTTTCTTTCTATAAGTTGTAGATTTGTAGAAGATCCGCCTTTGCAGTATTTCTTGAGATTTTGCTCACTGTTGGATTCAAGAACTTGTACACTTTTCTAGTCCCTTCATGTTCTACCACACTCAAAGGGTAATTATGCCTCAGAATTGACTTAGAAAGAACATCACGAAACTCCTTTTGATCCACAACAGGATAGCAGCTGGAACTCTCTCCTTCTTTGCCAAGGCAAGTCACTATATGGCGGCTCATATTACTTGTTCCTGAGTCAGCTACTAAAAGTTTAGTACAATTGCAACACTTGGCTCTTATTCTCCCATCTTCATCCATAGGCCTTCTCTCAAAGACCTCCCAAACTCTCGACGTCCGGATTCTTTTTGATGAGTTACTAGAGACTTCATCGCACATCTCCTCATCCAAACTCTCATTCTCTTCCATTACAATCAGATTGGTATTGCCCCTGTATCATACAAACTACCAATGCTCCTTGTTCCTTTTTACCCTAACAGTAGCTACACATAAAATACAAAATGTGCATTCAGTAATCAGAATGAAGACTCTTGCAGGCTTTTAAGAAATTGAAATAACATATTCACTGACCTACGACTATGCACAATAAATTGACTACATTATTGGCACTCTGCTAGAGTTCCTACGTACAAATTAATTGTGAGAAATGACTTTATGCAGCCAAAATCTGTACTAATAAACACCAGGGGATAGCCATCCATATCAACAACTATATACTATAGAGGAGAGAAAAACACACCCGACCAATGTGGGAAACAGTGGTACTAATACATCAGTATTCACATCAAATGTGGCTTTAAGAATAATTACTTTTTCTCTTATTCGTTGATCTTTAGGACAAGGTAACAACAAAAATATATAACTCAGCATAAAACTAATGGCAAATGCACGATAATATCAAGAATTGAGCAAAAGGGTTTCAATAAAATAACGATAACACTGAAATGGAACACTTAAACAAACAAAAAGTGTATAATTTTGCTTCTCTTTTTACCTCTAATGAAGGAACCCCACAAAAAAAAAGTTAAAATTGAAGGGAGAGAGCACAAGCAGAAGGGGAGATCCGAGCGAGGGGAACACGACCCAAATAAGAGCTTTGGTAACTTCGAATCTACGCTAGGAGTTCGATAGTATCGAATTTCACCTCTAAACTCATCGACCCGCCCAGATCTACAATAACTCTTCCATCTAGTATAGGGAGTTGCAGAGGTTAAATAGGTGGGTTAAAACACAGATCCAAGAAATTAAGGGATGAATAAATGGGTTTGGATAGCCAAAAAATCAATAGTTAATCCTCTTGGAAGAATAATTGCCGTAGCGGCACCGATCTATGGTGGTTACAGAGAAAGAAGAGTGAAACGAAGACCGTAGGAATGAGGGAAGGGTGTTTGGAGTGATGAGAATACGTGGAAATTGAGGGAGATTGTGTGAGAAATGAGAAGGGTTTAAGAGAGTGTAAGACGAATTTGAAAAGGGTTTAACAAACGCTGGGAAAATTCCTTTGAGGTCACCGGAGAAAATGAATTCAATCGGAGATCGATAGATTTGAAGTTTGAAGGGATTTGACGAAGTGTGAAGAAAGTACTGTGTGGGTAATTGTTATCCAAATTTTGGGTACCCGACGGGTTAATTTGGACTACCTCTACCCATCCACTTTAACTTTTGTCCATATCCGTCCAAACCCAAAAATTTAAGCGGGTGGGTTTTGATGGATAAAAATCCAGTGGACTTGGATGGACACAGGGTCCATGGACTATATTGCAGGCTTGACTTACAAGCATTTAACAAATCATCAGCAATAATATCCCAACAAGACCGATAAAAGGAACTCCCAAATCCATCGATACCTGGTGAACTTCCTTCATCTAGCCCAAGTACAGCTTCACGCAGCTCAAATATAGTAACTTCCCCCCTCTAACATCCCTTTATCGCCATCATCGATCTCATCATTGAAATGCTGCAAAAAAAATGGTTTGCGCTTCAGCCTAATTTGGAGGAGCTTCCTCTTCCATTAGCAAAGTCTGAAAAGAGGAAACGGCTTCATTTTCAATGTCAATCAATTTAGTCAAGTTGCGACCTTCAACATTTTGAATTTTTTGAATTGACATCTTCGTTCTCCTCTCCGCTAGTGAAGCATGGAAGAAAGAAGAGTTCGAATCCCCATCTTTTAACCACTTGAGTCTCATCTTTTGTTTCCAGAAGTCTTCATGTTCTTTAAGTTTCTGCAATAGAGTAGCATTAGCGGCATTAAGATTCTTTTTGTCCACAACTTTCCCAGTTCGATCATATATAGTTTCGAACTCCCGCACCTTGTCCTCCGCTAGCCGCAAATTGTGAAAGACATCTCCGAACTGAAGCTTGTTCCATCCTTTTAATTTTGCTTTAAGACGCCAAAGCTTCATGGAAAAAGCTAGCATTCCACTTCCTTGAATCGGTTGAGACCAATTCTCCTGAACAACATCCCTGAATTCCAATCGCCTCAACCACATTTGTTGAAACCTAAAAAGTTTCGGCTTACTTTCCACTTGAGTATCGAATTATAACAACAAAGGATAGTGATCAGAGGTTGTCCGGCTGAGATGCTCAATCGAATTTTTCTGAAACATGTCCAACCATTCCACCGAGAAGAGTACTCTATCCAATCGTTTACTCACCCAACCTGTTTGCCTAGTTCCTCCCCAAGTGAATTCATCTCCTAATGAAGCCTTTTCAAGCAAACCAGTGACATCAATAGTTTGGTTAAATTCATCAATGGCAACATAGTCCTGAACTGATGAGCCTGAGTATTCATCCAGAGAGCGAATGACATTAAAATCCCCTCCCACAACCCATAGCAAAGCCAGATTTAAATCCCTGAAGGCTTCTAGACTGGACCAAAGAGCTCTTCTATCAATTTTATTGGATCTAGCATAAACTGATGTCAGAAGAAAAGTTTTTTGCAATGGAATGATACCCACCTCCATGCGCAAAAATTACTCCGTAGCATCTAATACTTTCACTATAAAGAGATTGTTACACATAACCCAAATTTTACTCGTGGGAGATGAAAAGGCCATAGCAAACCTGAATTCCCTCCTTATTTCCTCTAGCTTATATACCAGAAGCATTGGCTCAAGAATCACAACAAATCCAACTCTATATCTTTGAACTAGAGTCTTCAATCTACGCTGCGATGCTTGCTTTTTAATTCCCCTAATATTCCAAAAAATAAAACTGATCATTGGAAACTTGCTTGAAAAAACGGGGCTCACTGAAGTCGATGAGAACGCTGCAATTCGGCTCCTTCCAACTCCTTTGCTTTTTCTTCCTTTGTTTTTCTACCACGTTTCTTTTTAACAATACTATTCCCTTGTTCATTCTCAGTGAAGAAAGTATCATCCTTATCCCCCTCAGACCAATTTCCTCCTCCATCAACCCCATCATCTTCATCCTGAATCTGGAAATCAAAAGAGTCATCCGGGAACCGCCTTGCTACCCGATGCGACATTTTCTAATTTCCATGTACATCCGAAATAGTTTGGTCATTTAAGCCTTTGGAGTTCTCACCTGGATTATCCACAAGCTGTACTGAATTAATGGCATTAGCATGATCTATTTCCTCAGTAACAATAATCTCCTCAGCATCTTCTTTATCTCCAACAAGGTCCGTTTCTTCATCATCTTGTTCTTGGAGCACTGAGAATTTGTTCGCTGATTGTGGCAGATTTGGAACAAGGGATTCCTCAGCTATTTTCTCAGGAGATGGCTGTAGATCGACCAGTATCAGCTCCTTTTCTTTTGTTGATAACCCCGAAGTTGATTCGATACGTCGCATATCGATTGCTTCCGCAACTGGGGTGGTGTGCGCTAGGGTTTTTGCATGCTGCTGAACCTCTAGGGTTTCCGCAGGCTGCGACTTTGGTGCCTGTGATTCTAATACCTCTATTTCAACTCCTTTAGCTATTAAAGGATCCATTTGCAGAATACTGACCTCCAAATCCGGCTTATGACTTCCCCCTTTCAAAATCACCTTTGATTTCGATGGAGCTAGTTTTATCCCCTTCTTCTTCACTGGCAGGACTTCAACATCATTGCTTCGCGGAGATGGTTTTCCTACTCGACACTCTTAATCCTTATGACCGATCTTACTACATTTAATACAGTAAGATGGTATATGTTCAAAAGCAAATTGTTGCTCATGCTTACGCCCCTTCTTCCCAATTTTTAACGATTTCGATAGATCTTTGGTGAGATCGACTTCCACACAAAAACGGGCAACTGAGGGACGAGTCAAATTCAACGTAGGTGTATCCACCTTCAAAGGTTGTCCCAACGCAGTAGCCATGGGATATATCACCTCTGGATGCATATACTCTATAGGAAGATCGTAAAGAGCCGCCCATATTGGCACCACCGACAGATCTTCCTCAAAACGAAATCCGGGAGTCTATTTAAGAATCCTCATAGAGAATCCCTCAATATTCAAAAACGTGTGTATCCAACACCTCTGATAATCTTCCTCTTCCTCAAATCAGATCAATACATGCCTAGGGTTCATTAGCCACCATATAGCCCCCATTGAAACCGATTTTCTTAAATTCATTGTGAACCTCCTCCATTTTTGGCCGGCCATAGGAGAATTTCCCAACCAAACTCAAGCAATGCGGAGCTACTAATTTCTCAAACTCATCATCTTCATACTCCAAAGTAGGAGTTCCATTAACAAATTTAACTTGCTTTATTAGCGAATCTTTATTTTCCAAAACTTCTTGTGATTTTTTGAAGAAACTTGCGAAGGATCTTGGTGGCTCACATGAATCCGCCGGCATTGAAACCGCGGCCAAACGGGCTGAGTCCCCTAAGTGCCGTCACAATTAGGGTTTCGAGAAAGAGAAAAAAAAAGGAGAAAACAGCTTCTGATCACCACCAAAAGTCATCGCCTATATTATTAAAATACACAAAGATGTAGTTTTGTGTTAAATTGCCGTTCCAGAGATAATTCGACAGTGGCGCATCCGATTCGGTGCAATTTGTAAATTTGTTCCTGTTAAAAAGATCGAAACGCTATAAAACAAAAAGAATAAAAATCTCAAATTTACAAAGAAATAAAACAATATTGTTCATGATTATCATTTAATATTGGAGTTTGGGTAAATATGATCTTAGAACTCCATTGACTTGAGGCACCGATCGCATGTACTTGGGGGTACATAGTTGCCATTAAACACAAATTGCTATATTTTGTAAGCATGAAACCATATCTCCCCATGTTTCAAATTCAGTTGCAATATTTGTAATGAAGAGTTTGAGAGTCGACAATAGGGCTGCTAACTCGGTCGGTTCGGTGCGGTTCGGGTGAATTTGGTTCGGTTTAATCGGTTTTTTCCATTCCACTTCACCCGCCCAAAATTGAACCGAAGATTATGTTCTTCTGAACTGAACCAAGCCGAATATGCAATCGGATTTTTGGTTCGGGGGTCGATTAAATCGGAAAAAAAAAGCAAAGGCTAAATAGGCCATATTTTATAGAATTTCAGACTTGAATAATCTGAATCCATCCTTAAACATAAACCTCCAGCCAACAAACCCAACTGAAAACTTCAAAACAATAGGAATTAACAAGAACAAAAAAGAGCAGATCATACAGGACCCTAAAACATGGTGCATGCCGAGTTCACCAAAAATATTACTAGCTTGGATTGTGATTTTTGTAGATAATGGAAGCTAGGTCGATCCCACGAGGACGGCTAATTACCAAATTCGTTGTTAAAAGACTACCAGTTAGACAATGTGTCACTCAGGGGAATGGAAATAGTCACTCAGGGGAATAAAAGCCTGGGGCGTTCATCTCTTTTTCCTACTGCTGTAGTTGTTAATCAGCACTGTAATGGTTAAGTTCTTGTTCATTCAGCTCACTTATAACTCTTAAGTCATTTCCCGTTTTTCCTAGAGTCATCTTTGCAACCGTAACAATCTATTTTCCAATGATTGATTCCAGTTAAAAAGTCATTAAGATCTCAGGCTTACATGAATGCTTATGTCAACTAAGTATATTCCTATCTTAGTTAAAACCATAGACTGTTACCTCTATGTCATAAGTTGAAGTTGAAACAATCCAAACCAAGTTTATCTTTCCCGATCTCCCTTAGTTCTAGCATGCATTCAATTTAGTGATCAAGTAAATGAATGTAGAAAAACTTTCAACTTCAAAACAAGGAACAGAACCAGTGCATTACAACAACTACAACATAGGTTGAGGAGATTAACCCCTGGAAGCTACTTAACTACTCATGCAGATTAATGCTACATCTACTACATCAAAAGACATCATAGAAGTATGCATAATAAAACGAAGTTCAAGCTAACAGTCAAGAGACGAGAAAAAATCTTGTGCAGTTCTGAACCACTCCTGAGAGTGAAAGAGTTCACTCATGGAAATGAGGTAGAGATTGGGATGATTGTTCTTCAACTTGGCTTCCTTACTGAGTTGTTGTTGTTCCTTCTTCCTTCTTGCCTTCTTCTGGAGTTTTTTTCTGTGTGTTCTTGGCAACTACAAGGTGTAGCCAGAGATGTCCATTTCTGAGAGTGTAGCTCCCCTTTTATAGAGCCCTGCAGCCGGTTCTTCAATCAAGAGAGCCTCCCCATGCTTGTGAATTGTTTAATCCTTCCTTGGCCTTGTGTCTGGAATCCGAAATTGACTGGTCTTCTTCTCTTCTTCCAGTAGTGGCAGCAGCAACCTCATTGATCAACATGGGTGGTTGGAATTTCGGCCAAGAGACAAGCATGCCCTTTGGAATGCAAATGAGAGACACACTCATTAATGTCAAGATGCTTTGTGTCTTGGGAGTGCTTTTTCGACCAGCTCAGAAAAAATTGTATCAGCAGCCCACAATTTGTTCCGTTGGCCTCAATTTTCAGCAATTGTTCAATCAAGTCCTATGCTAATAGAAAACACAAAAACTAGTTAAGTGAAATGCACTAATATTAAGAAATACCCCTAATTTCTTACTAAATTCAGAGTTAATTGTGAAGCTTTTATGTAACAAATAAACCATTATCAAAACACAATTAAAATTAAAAGAAAAGTAATCACAGCAGTAGACGAGCAAAACCAGAAACCTACAGTTTGCCCATAAAAGTCTCTCCTTTGGATGCTTGAAATTGCTACTGACATCACCCATCTTTTCCATTCAACCCTATCAATAATACCAAATCCCAATCATCCCAAAATTCTTTTCAACAAGGTCTTGCAAAAGGGAATTAACGAAGAAAACACACCCTAGCACATTGCCTCTTCGAAATCTACAAATCCAAATTCTTTTCTTTTTCTTTCTTCTTCCATTCTTTCTTTCTTCAAAACAGCAATATGGCGGCGCCAATCTTGCCCTTCCTCAGTTCTCTATGAAGAACGACGAAGCAACAAAGGGATAAAGGATTTAGCTTTTCCTCTTTGGGTTTCGATTTGGAGAAAAAATGACTAGATCTAGAAAGGGTTCAGTTTTTTCACTACGTTAGATACTTGGATTAGTGGTGGACAGGTGGAATCGGTGGATTAATGGATTGTATAGGTGTGAAGGGGGAGGTGGAGCCATGGAAGAGGTGGAGCCATGGAGGAGGTGGAGCGGCGGTGAACGGTGGGTTGGAAGAAGGAATAATCTGGAAGCGGGAAACATCATATATATCTATATATAAAATAAAAAAAATTTTTAAAAAAAGTTAATCAGGTATTCGGGCGGTCCCCGAATGATGTTGCCCTCCGACCCCGAACCGCCTTAGCTAATCGGTTAATCAGGTAGAGCTGAAATTCTCCCAACTAAACCGATTAGTCGACCTGTTTAGTCCGAATTCAATTCGGGTCGGGCGGTTGGTCGGGTTCAACCGATTAATCAGTAGCCCTAGTCGACAAACCTGATTTTGGCAGAATAATAAATTAAAAAATCAATCACTAAAATTACCTTGAAATGAGGATCTTCATGACAGAACTCTCCATCAACCAATTCTTATCTAACAAAAGTTTGCTCTGCCAAAACAAAAACAAAATCTTTTTTTTTTAATTAGAAAGAAAAGTTTGCTCTCCATCCAAATGATCCGTAAAGAAAAAAAATCTGAATTTTCCAGCCACAACCGATGGACAGGGCGGCTAGCTATAAACTAAAGGATTTTTTTTTTTTTTTTAGTGATATGGATAGTATTCATCGTGGAGGAATTATATATATTTATAGAGAAAAGACAACATCTAATTAGGGTTTAGAAGAGGAGGAGCGTATTAGAGAAGATATAAATTAGCTTTAATCGAGAGATTGCTATCTTATCCGAAATTTCCATAATTAATGGTAGTTTTGAATTTCAAAGTGAGTTGATTAATTTAAAAGCTACACGGATTAAATGGATTAGTTAGTAAAGTGAAAGGGAATAACTCTTTTACATAATATTTTTATGGTTTAATGATGAGCCAATAAAAAAATGACATATGGTAATGGTTTAATCATGAGCCAATTATAAAACGACATATGTCAACGGAACTTATTAAGGCCTAATTAAGCCACACGTGTTAAATGATCAACTCTCCTTTAATTTATAGATAGATTGATCATGAGCTAATTGTGACAAAGTCATGTAAATTTATTATTAGTGTTTTACAGATTTATTATTTTATTTCTATAGTTTGATGAAAGATAATTTTGGTAATGAAACATGGTATTATTGGCTTAAACTATTTCATTGAACAATACATTTTCGATTAAGATCTATCCTTATATATGTCTATATATATATATATATATATATATAGATTATCAACCATGCTCTGATTTATTTTTTTAGGTGAAATGTATAATTAATAAAACAATATAGATATACCACGTCAAGAATTCAATCATAATTTTAAATAGCATTAGGATTATAACTAATCAACTCTGTTAATAATTTCCTTATCCTTACACTTGAATAAAAATTTATATTTAGTCAATGTGAGAT